TACAGTGCCTTGCTAAAGTATTCGGCCCCCTTGAACTTTGCGACCTTTTGCCACATTTCAGGCTTCAAACATAAAGATATAAAACTGTAATTTTTTTGTGAAGAATCAACAACAAGTGGGACACAATCATGAAGTGGAACGAAATTTATTGGATATTTCAAACTTTTTTAACAAATAAAAAACTGAAAAATTGGGCGTGCAAAATTATTCAGCCCCCTTAAGTTAATACTTTGTAGCGCCACCTTTTGCTGCGATTACAGCTGTAAGTCGCTTGGGGTATGTCTATCAGTTTTGCACATCGAGAGACTGAAATTTTTGCCCATTCCTCCTTGCAAAACAGCTTGAGCTCAGTGAGGTTGGATGGAGAGCGTTTGTGAACAGCAGTTTTCAGTTCTTTCCACAGATTCTCGATTGGATTCAGGTCTGGACTTTGACTTGGCCATTCTAACACCTGGATATGTTTATTTGTGAACCATTCCATTGTAGATTTTGCTTTATGTTTTGGATCATTGTCTTGTTGGAAGACAAATCTCCGTCCCAGTCTCAGGTCTTTTGCAGACTCCATCAGGTTTCCTTCCAGAATGGTCCTGTATTTGGCTCCATCCATCTTCCCATCAATTTTAACCATCTTCCCTGTCCCTGCTGAAGAAAAGCAGGCCCAAACCATGATGCTGCCACCACCATGTTTGACAGTGGGGATGGTGTGTTCAGGGTGATGAGCTGTGTTGCTTTTACGCCAAACATAATGTTTTGCATTGTTGCCAAAAAGTTCGATTTTGGTTTCATCTGACCAGAGCACCTTCTTCCACATGTTTGGTGTGTCTCCCAGGTGGCTTGTGGCAAACTTTAAACGACACTTTTTATGGCTATCTTTAAGAAATGGCTTTCTTCTTGCCACTCTTCCATAAGGGCCAGATTTGTGCAGTATACGACTGATTGTTGTCCTATGGACAGAGTCTCCCACCTCAGCTGTAGATCTCTGCAGTTCATTCAGAGTGATCATGGGCCTCTTGGCTGCATCTCTGATCAGTCTTCTCCTTGTATGAGCTGAAAGTTTAGAGGGACGGTCAGGTCTTGGTAGATTTGCAGTGGTCTGATACTCCTTCCATTTCAATATTATCGCTTGCACAGTGCTCCTTGGGATGTTTAACGCTTGGGAAATCTTTTTGTATCCAAATCCGGCGTTAAACTTCTCCACAACAGTATCTCTGACCTGCCTGGTGTGTTCCTTGTTCTTCATGATGCTCTCTGCGCTTTAAACGGACCTCTGAGACTATTACAGTGCAGGTGCATTTATACGGAGACTTGATTCCACACAGGTGGATTCTATTTATCATTATTAGTCATTTAGGTCAACATTGGATCATTCAGAGATCCTCACTGAACTTCTGGAGAGAGTTTGCTGCACTGAAAGTAAAGGGGCTGAATAATTTTGCACGCCCAATTTTTCAGTTTTTTATTTGTTAAAAAAGTTTGAAATATCCAATAAATTTCGTTCCACTTCATGATTGTGTCCCACTTGTTGTTGATTCTTCACAAAAAATTACAGTTTTATATCTTTATGTTTGAAGCCTGAAATGTGGCAAAAGGTCGCAAAGTTCAAGGGGGCCGAATACTTTCGCAAGGCACTGTATGTGGACTGTCCTGCCGGCACTCTGTCCTTCTACACAGTCTCCTCTGACACACTGATCCACCTCCACACCTTCAACACCACATTCACTGAACCTCTTTATCCTGGGTTCAGGATCTATCCTGGTTCCTCAGTGTCTCTGTGTGGTGTGTAGGTGTTTCAGTCTCCTGTGAAGATCAGCTGCTGAGGTCAAAGGTCACCCTGTTCCCCATCCCACTCTCTGTATTGTGAAGCAGATCTGTCTCCGACTCAGACACCAAACACTCATTTGTCTGATTTCATCACTTTGACCATCAACATCTGACCAGTTCAGTCAAATGGTTTTGATTCTGTGTGATGATTATTGTTGTCTTCACTCTGCTGTTGTTGCTGCCAGGATCCACTGAGTAGCATCCAGCTCTGCTCAGGGTTTAGTGGCTCCTTGTTATAATGCCTCTGTACTTTGACCTGTGAGGCTCTGGATGCAGGACTTTTACTTGTGAAGTGATAGACTTCCTCTTTACGACATGGTCACATCGTGGTTTCCCTTGATGTCCCGCTTTCCGTAGGAGGTCGGTTACACATCCTCAGAAATTAATGCTGCCTGTCATTGAGAACTGTATTTCACATGAATTAGATACAATCAAAGGAAGAAGAAGAAGACATTCTAAGGAGTTTGAACTCTCAAACATACTGGGAATTCTGCTAATATGCTAATTTGGTTGCTTTAAACCAAAAAAACAAAAATTTAATTCAACTCGCCAAGTCAGAAGCTCATGTTGTGTTGGTGTCTGAAAATAAACATGGGGCAGTGTGGGGCCACAGGCCAGATCCATCCTGAGGAGCTTCTCAGAGTTTCACTCAACTTTACTTACAGTGCACGTGGTCCTGATTTGAACTGTACTTTGTACAGTCTGGAACATTATGACCCTGATGATTCATCTCTGTGTATGATCCCACACTAGTCTGTGTCCTTCTGTCCTGAGCTGTACTTTTGTAATAGAACAATGAATCCACCTTAAAACAAGAGACGAGCTGTTTGTATCAGTTGGTTTAAGTACTCCGCTCTTTTACTCATGTAAAAGTAGTAATACAAGCCTGGAAACACTTTGTTACAAGTAAAAGACTCTCATTCAAAGTACTATAATGTTTGACATCAACACGGTAAAAGAACCAAAAGTAAAAATTTTCATTACACAGATTGAAACCTTTCACATGAATGCATATTAATAATGTATCTATGCAGCATATAGAACGTATACACACACATACTGGATTATAATTAATGATGCACTGACACGTTTGTCACCTTCATGTTGTAGCTGGTACTTTATGTACTCCTGAACAGCTTGTGATTTGCCCTCGGATCAACAAAGTCTTCTATGAACATATCAAACTATCTTGACATTGCATTAGTTGACTGTCTGATGTCAGACCACTGAGCTCTGTGATCAGCTCTGTCCTCTCTGGCTCCGACTCCTGCTCAGCATCTTTGTTTTCAGGATGAGCTGCTGGTTTGTCGGTCAGCAGAGCAGCCAGGGTAATGGATATCAGATATGGGCTGCACACAAACAGCACCACATACACTGGGAGTCAGTTTAAGGCTGTTCACCTGAGACACCCAGGTTCCCCTGTGGGCCTGGTCGGCTGTGGCTCAGGACGTAGAGCAGGTCGGCCCCTGACGGTAAGGTCAGCGATATGATCTAGTTCCTGTTAGTACTCTGGCTGCAGCATTTTGGATTAACTGCAGGTTGCCCTGGCTCTGGAGCTCTCCATCTCTGATGAGCAGTCACCGGCCACATCAACCTGCCCTGTGTTTGACTGTTAGTTGTTGTGTTTGTTGTGTCTTGTTGTTTTTCTTTTCTTTTCTCTTTCCTCTATCCACTCACCCCAACCAGTCAGGGCAGAAGGCTGCCCACCAAGAACTGGGGTCTGTCGGACGTTCCTTCTGTTAAAGGCAGTAAAAAGGTTATTTATCTATCAGAACTGATACAGGGAAAGAAACATATGTTTCCATGTCCTGACATCAGTCAATCAGGTGTCCGTTCTGCTCTTTAAAGGGGATGAGAGGAGCTGGTTTGACTGGACAGAACTAAAGCCAGACTCGACTCCACCTGGCACCATTTATTCCTCCCTCTCGTACACAATGCACCCAGTAACGCCTGGCTGTGCATGAAGGTGCTCTGCACCTGTGATCACCAAAACTGCAAAACACTGTTGAGCAAGCTCATATTCACTCATGCCTGGAGATTATACACCCTGTTGCAGGAAAATGAGCCCCTTGTCTCTAATACATGCCTCTTACAAAGCAATGTAGCTATAGGTTTCCAAAAAAGAAACTGAGATGGCACTGAGATCATTTTTAATAACTACAGTACTGAAGTGGTACAGTTATAAGGACATCTTTCAGCAGCAGTGTTGTGTGCACTGAAAACAATGTCAACAACTTATTGAATCACAAGCGCTAAGTCACTGCTCAATCACAACAATTGCAATTAGCTTCTCACCAGATGAAGTTAAAAGCTGGGTGTGCAGTGCTCCAGTGTTTTTTGGAAAGTGTGCCTTTGTCAGGGTGGAGTGGAGCATAGAGGCACTACAACACACAGTCATACATATCATCTGGAATTGACACATCCATAACAGTAATGATACAAGGATCAAGAATCAGAGCCATAATTATACAGTATAGCAATAGTAATAACAATTATTGATATTGTCTAAAAGCTACACTTGTGTTTTCAGATTTTCTGTCTTCAAAAAAGAGCCATATAATTATATTTATATATTGGTATTTCATTGGTCTTTTTTCTGGTTTTCTGACTAAATAGGTAACTTAAATATTTACAATGATTATTTTACAACCATTGGCCCAGCCCACTGAAGAATGTTCCTATTAGTTTGTCGAGATTAAAAAGCGCCCAGTGAAAGAAGGGATGAGACAGAGGGATAGTCCCAGTGAAAGGCAAGGTCAGGAGGGAGCAAAGACCCAATGTGAGATCAGCCTCCTCATCCCAGACTCCCAGGATCCAGGGCCACAAATGCTACATGTCAGGAGCTTAAGGGATGGAAAGCCTCAACCTGCTTAGGCACACAAGGTCTCCAGCCTCACACTGGAAGGGTGTACAGGGTTTCCTGCAGCACTCTGGGCTCCAGGGGGTGACAGGTCCTCTTAACCTGTGCTGCAAGCTCATACAGGAAGGAGGATTTACTCCACATTGTTCCTGGGACATCTCATATCACTGTTTTTGTCCCCCCCACCCCCCAACAAACCTACATCACCAGTAGCTGTCCCAACACCATCCTGAACTGCTGCGTACACCCTGCCAGCTCCCTCACCCTCTCAGTCATTTCCCTGGCTGCTCCAGGGGAAGGATACTGAAGTGCCGCTGTCTTTGTACTAATCACAATGTCTTTGAGTTTTTCACAGAGGGTGTTGCTGCTCTGGGACACTCGCACCCGCACTTCAGGAGACTTGACCTGGCGTGACAGTGTGTCGCCAATGAACACCAGCTTGTGTGCACTGAGGATGACAAACTTGCTGTGCGCCACAAAGATTTTGGGCGGCTGATTGGAGTTGACGGCGGTGAAGAAGGCGTCAATGGCGTTGGTCACTGTTGTGATGTTTTGCTCGCACTGTTCCTGGTAGAAGAGGAGGAGCTGCCGGTCGCCGTGACACAGTTTGGAGGAGGAGGAGCCTCCAGAGCCGTTCTGGGCCAGCTGGTTGGCTAGAGGGTGGTGGGGGGATGGGACCCAGCCTGTCATGTCGTTGTTGATTGGTTGGCTGACTTCCTGCTCTAGCCGCTCAAACTGTTTAATCTGGAAGGAGAAGAAGAGTAAGGAGACAATTAATACTTACTGATAACACGTAGAGCTGCAATGATTAGCAAAGTAGTCAATTGTTTCACTGTTGAAAATTTAAAAAAATTGCCAAACATTCTCTGGTTTCAGTTTCTCAAATGTCTTTTCTTAGTTGTATACAATTTTAGGTTGAAACACTGGGCTCTGGGATCTTTAACTGTATTTGATTATGCTAAACAAAAACATAATCACAGTAATAACACAGTGACAGGCTCAAATGCAAACAAGAACCTTTAGCCTAGCAAAAGAGTATGTCAAGTCTGTTAAAACCAGTTTAAATACTTAAAATTGTTTAGAATTGTAAACAACATGTAGCCTGGAAGGGTAGCCTGTTCTCTCACACACAGGTACCTGCTGCTGTTCCAGTTGTGTCTTGTTGTGTCGGATGATATTGCCTTTCTCTAGTAGCTGTCTCTGGTTCTTCTCAAATTCTTCTTTTCCCTATTAGATCAACACACAAACAGTTACACCTGTTGCACACACTCAGGCGGCTGATTGAAAACACATCTCTTTACTTGTGAACCAGTTGGAGCATTTCAAGTAATTTACAGCCTCTGTCTCCCCCGTGTGGTAGCAAACTGGAAGTGCAACAACTCTTCCTCACAGATTGCATACATTTCTTGTGATGCCTTGCTGACACACATTAACTTGCTTGGTGAAAAAAACATTGTTGACTCTTCACAGGGTTATGTAGTCATTCTGACAGGAGTGCATGTGTGTGAGACAGAGTGAGTGTGGTCCCCACAGAGTTGTTGACTATGACTAAGGGCCATGACTTATCATACACCAAGTTGAAGTCATTAATCTCGACCTGACTTCTTATAGTTTAATGACATAATTTGTGCTGCCATGATGTTCTTTCCATATACTGAGCTGCGAACTTGCATTCAGACTGAACACATTCAGAGCCAGCTGCTTCATCTGCTCTGGCAAACATACACGGCAGCACCAGCAGGACAGGATGCACAGTGCTGAGACTCAATAAGATATAACTTGGTACCATTCAAAAGTGAAAAAATATAAGTGCTTTCATGCATAGTACAGGCTACACATGAACAAACAAATGGAACAGCGACTCGTGTTTGACTATTTCATGTGGAGCTTCGCTGTAGAACAAACAAACAAAAGAAAACAAAAAAGACAAACTCCATCTATGAAAACTAGGCTGAAATGTTTTTGTTTAACTAAAATGAACAGTAATCAAATTACTAGATTGCGACCACAACTACTATTTATGTTAAATCAACAAACTCAATTATGGCAGAATGAAGACCAATAATGTCCATATTCTGTATATTGTTCAGTAATAATGTGTCCATAATATAATTGTGACTCCAGTGTTAACACAGCTGTACTTGTTTTATGTTGAAATAAATGCTTTAAACATTCATGTTGAAAATTATATGATTAATAACCGGTTAAGTGACAAAGATCTTAGAATTATAATTGTAAAGAAGTTTCTTCTTTACTTTCCAGCTAATAAAATGGCCTCTTATGTCTCTACATATGTAATTGTATGTAACTGTGGATACCTGTAAGTGGACATAGTCATAGTCCTCCATCCAGCCTTCCTCTGTGGTCTCATATGGCCTGTCCACACCTTCCTCTTCCTCTGCAGCTGTAAACTTTGGTGGAGAGGGGAGGGGCCGTGACTGAATGTTCACCTTCTCCCCTCCCTGGTAGCTCCCACTTCCTGATCCTGTCATGTGTCCGCTAATCTCCCCTGGGACTGGAGGAAGTGGCAGCTGTTGCTGCTGCCGGGTGGTGCGTTTGAAAAGAAGTGAGGCGTTACCATGGAGAAAGGAGGCGAGCTGTTTGGCATCATCCGGAATGCCTCGCGCTGTCATGATTAGTCGATCTAAATCATCCCCTCCTGGTGACGGTGCAGAGAGTGCTGTGTGCGACCAGGAAATGGCGTCTAAGCTCTGACTGTGTCGAATCAAACTTTGGAAGACCTCCTCCATCTTCCCCACCTGACGGCCAAGTTTGGTCTGCAGTGAGCGGTCCGTGGCCTGGGCAGCATTCGCGACAGCCCCACGGGCAAATTCCAGAAAGTCTCGGACAGTGGTGCGGACCCGGTCGGCAGCCTGATGAATGGCCGGAAGGTTACCTTCCAGGTGAGCAGGGCTTCTCCAGTTACCTGTGATGAATGACATCATGAGGGAAACGCTAGACTCGACAGCTTGCTGGAGGCGAGACAGACGCTCCATGGCCTGCTCCAGGTCCAAGATGAGGGGTTTCCCTGAAATGGAGCCAGGGGTAGGATGTGTGGAAGAAGAGGAGGTGTCTCGGACAGGGACCATGTCTAAGGATGAAGCAGAATGGTTGCTCCGTGTGCTTCCTGTGCTTGAGGCAGACAGCCGCTTGAAGGACATGGTCAGATCTTCACTGGTGGACTGGGCATCACGCCCGACCTGGGAAACACAAATCACCACTGGAATAACATTCTGCATTAATGCAGCATACACAGAAGCTTCACTAGCAGTTTCCTCATGTTCTGATGTGTGTCTTTGTGCTAGGCTAGCAGCGTCTATGTGATCAATAAAACTAGGGGGGGTTTTATGTTTCCACAGTGGAAACTAGATAAAACCTAAATAAAACATAAACAAATAGAAACTGAATGATAAGGTGGAAGATGGTAGAATGGATAAATTAGTATTACTGTTTTAATGCAAAGTCTTATTAAACAACAGCTAACTTGTAGTTAATACTAATATTAACTACAGCATTTAAATTTATTGGCTGTTCCGCTTAAAGCTGGACAAGATGTAGGATTAAATCTACAGGATATACTGAGGAGAAGGAGCATGTTGCATTGTCACAGAACAGAGCCACATAATGCCAAATTAAAAATGCACAACAAAAAAAAGACTAACACAAACATCTTTAATAAAATGTAGGAATGCTCCTTTAACTGTCCTACTGTACCTGTGGTGGGACATCGTAGACATAGTGCTCTCCCCTCTCTCCTCCTCTCTCCTCTCGTTCCCGGGGGAAGTCATAGACATCCTGGGTGGGGTGACCTCCGGTCCGCAGGCTGGCTGGGATGTCGTAGACCTCCTGGGGGGCCTGGCTGACTCCACCCCTGTCTCCATGATAATGCTTGTCAGCCAGGATGGGGGGTGGGACGTCGTACACATCCTCTGGAATGGGTGGCTCATCGTCATCGTCGTTAAGGTTGGCCAGGTACTGGCCAGGGGAGATCGGGACCTGAGGTCTGAGTTTGGCAAAGTGGGGCGGGACGTCATAGGTCTCCTCTCTGATTGGCTGAGCATCAGGGACATCTTTACTGACAGATGGGGGGAAGTCATAGACCTAAAGAGAGGAAGAAATATGTCATTTATATCACATAAAGTGTTTTATTTTCATTGTTTAGTTGGAGGAGGAGCCTCCACTGTTACTGCACAGTTACAGCCTCACTTTCTGGCACTTCTGCCTTGAATGGTTTTAGCTGCTAAGATGTCTCTGACAGATCAACCCACATCTTATGATGTCAGGAAGAGTTTCAGGGTATTGTTCATTGATAGCTGTCTCTTTGCTCTTATTTCTACCTGATCAGTCACACTATTAAACTAACTGTGTAATTACACAGTCTCTGTTCATACAGTGATGTGTACCTCATGCAGAGCACCTTTTTGTAAGCTCCTTTTAGTTTTGCCAGCTTGGTTTATCTGACATACGGGTAGTCATTTCATTTTCTTTCCAATATTCATGACAAAATACATTCAGGGGAAATTAATTTAGACTGTGATATTTTAAACTTTGGATGGCAGTGATGGTCAGTCCAACACTTCAGTCACATACAACTCAGCATATCTCAACAACCTTTGGATGGACTTTCACAAAGTCTGATGCAGATCTTCATGCCCCAGTTTCAGAGACTGACTGACTTCTTCTCAAGCTCCATTATCAGGCATTAAATATTACATATTCTAAAATATCTGCTCTTCAAAGAGCTGCTAGGATGGTTGTAGACTATTAGGCTGTTAGTATCCATTTAGCTGTTCAATTATACCCTTATTGTTATGACAATATCTTGTGACTGGTGTGTTAAATAATGAGTAACCATCATTTAACTCGTATGACTGCTCTCCCCTTCTTTGGCACATTTAGTTGTGTATTATTGACTGGATTACTATATAGTGTTATGTATGTAAATGGTTTGTGTGTGCATGTATAGTATACACATAGATATATAATACTTAATATTATATACTGTAGTGTATAGTGTTGCATATTGTATGTACTTTACTATACTATATGTGTGTGCACATGTAAGTACAGTATATGTGTGTATGTGTTGATATATATTGTGCATACTGTATAGTATTGCATGGTATTATAATCCTAGTAGGACAGTGATGGAGGACAGAAAGATACTTAGCTTAGTTATATTATTTGATATTTCATAACAACCTGTTGTGTCTTGTTGCTTTTCTTCTTTTCTCTCTCCTCTATCCACTCACCCCAACCAGCCGAGGCAGAAAGCTGCCCACCAAGAGCCGGGGTCTGTCAGCTGTTTTTTATGTTAAAGTGAGTGTTTCCTCCCCACTGTCGCCAAGTGATGCTCAGGGGGGTTTGCTGGGTTTTTCCTCTATAATAATAGTAGTAAGGTCTAGAATTTACTTTGTAAAGTGTCCTGAGATGACTGTTGTTGTGAATTGGTGTTATACAAATAAATTGAATTGAATTGTGTTTTGGTGTTTATGGAACATTTTGTTATGTGCTTTTATTTTGAAATTTCTGTGTTGTCATAGAGAGTGACCATTCATATGTTATGTTTTTAATGGATAGCTGACAAAACTAAAGCCCTGATGCAGGCTGTGTGGTCCTTGCTGTGGAATATCACGGCAAAGGCCCTGTTCCATACTGTGTTGGATGAATTACAAACACAGGTTGGTTAGCATTGTTAAGCTGTTTATCCACATTTAAGCCATAATGTGATTATCTGGGTGTCTAGGATATACTCTACATTATCTGCATCATAAACCAAACCAAATTAAGTAAAAGTGGTAAGAATGGGGGTGGCATGGTGGCACAGTGGTTAGTGCTGGTGCCTCACAGTAAGAAGGTTCGTGTTACACAAAATAACACATACAGTAAATACACACTAAGTGGCCTTTACCATATGCTGTGTGTTCTTCTCTGTGCTTGTTGGGGTGTCGTATATGTCCTGAACACTAGAGGGCCCCTTCACCACCATGGGAGGAGTGTCATACACCTGGACACAGTGGAAAAGACACACAAACAGCATGTTGCTACACATCACACTGGGCACACACACATTGTTTTCGTTCCTCGTGGGGAGTTTACATTGCTTTAAATGCATTTCCTGCAGTCTTACTCTAACCTTTACTCCTACACTACCTTACCCTAACCATAAACCAAGTTGTCACCCTAAAATTACATGGAGGAGGAATCCCCACAATTAGAGTGTAGAAAAAGGTTTCAGCCCCCACAGTGTGAGTAATACCAAGCACATACACAGACTCAAGTCATAAAACAAGTTTTAAATGGCTGAATGCATTACATCTACTGCCTTTGTCTAGGGCGGGAAAAGAAGAAAAGAAAAGGGGTGGATGAAAATGCACAGAGAATAGGAAGCAAGACAAAAGAACCAGAGGAAACGAAGAGAACAGAAGAGGATGAAAGGAGAAAGAGGAAGAAGAGAAGAGAAACAACCGGGAAACAGGAGGAGCAGAGGACAGAAGGAGGCAGAGAAAGGCAGGAAAAGAGGAGGGGGTGGGAAGAGGATAGAAGAGAACAAGGAATGAGAAAGAAAAGTGAAAGAAGAGGGGATAATAAAAAAATGGGATGAAAAGAAAGCACAGAAGAAAGGACAAGACACAGGAAAGGGATAGGTGGAGAAGCTGCAGAAAGCTGAAAAGGAAGCAGGGGGTGAAAGGGGGACAAACAGCTGTCCAGCGTTTGGACCATCTCTCTATGAGACCGTGGGCTTATCGAGGAAGTGTCTGTATACTAACCCCCCTCCCTCAAACCATCCTGTGCTTCAATCAGCTCCTCTGTTCACTCGTTTCTCTGTGTGTCTCACAAATCCTAGAGTGACTCCCAGCTTCCAACACACACACAGATACATGGCTGCATATAGAAGCAGCTGGGACGCCACTTCATTCCAAAGGGGGCATTTACACATCTGTGCTTGTTATACCGGGACAATGAGAGTCAGACTGTCAGAGGGAGACCAAAGCCAGCAGGAAAGCATGTGGAACTGTGCTGCCTGTAACATTACATTCATTATGTCTCATTCACTACCAGTGCTGGTCCCCAGCTGGCTCACTCGCCTGGTGGCTGCTGCAGCTGAAGTAAATCATTTGTGTCCTTTCTCTGAGATATGCACAAATCAAATTAGAGCAGCAACATTGCCAGTTGGAAGCAAAAATTCACTTTCCCTAATGTTAGAAACCTTAAAATCTGTTTTTGGTTAGTATGAAGCCATCTCGCACACAGCAGACATTTTGATGAAATGCCTTGTGTGGTGGTGGGTTCATTTTTCACCTTTCAGATTGCAGCCCAGCAGCTACATCGCTTATTACAGCCACACATCTTCCTCCTGCTCTTCCTCAGCCTTCCATCCTTCATCTTTCTCACCGTTCACTGTCATCTTGTTTTCCCCATACTCCGCTGCTTTATGTGCTCTTCCTCCTCCTCCTAGCCCCCTTTTTCCTCCTGCAGCTCATTTTCACTGCCTCATTCTTCCTCCTGTGAGTCCAGCTTTCATTTTGCTGCAGTTGTGTACAAGTGACCTTTCTCTTTTGGCGTGTCAGCATCGAGCTTCTCTTCTACAGTATGTACAGTTTGCCTGTGTGTGAGTGTGTGTGCGTGCACAATGCAGGTGCCTGCTTACTGAGCACAAAACCTTCTGAACACTCTGGTAATACTGTGTGGAAAAGAACAAAATGACCTGCGTGAATATGTATAACATCAAATGTAAAGACAGGCACACCAGTAACCTTCTCTACTGCAACAATTCAGCTTCTCTTTTGCTGACAGTCCAAGCATCTTATACATCACACACACAGCTTGTAGGTGGAATATCTAATGAGCAGGTAGATGTTTTAAGATGCTGCACCATTTCTTCTAGAGTTTAGTTGTTAACTGCAGTGAATTCACACACACAGTGGTGATGAGGTCATATTGTCTCAGCTTGGCTGTGTGGACCTAATACTTTGGCTGATATTTTCAATTTTTTGATGAAAATAATTGTGCAAACTCGTTACATTTTTTATCCGTCAAGAACTCAAGGACTGGCTGCATTCGGGGATTTGTTAACCTAGCAACAGTGGAAAATAAAGCACCAGTGTTATTAAGATTTCCATTTGTGACATTAGAGAGATTAGGCTGCCTAGCTCTGCATCGTTCACAGTTTCCCTTTATAGATGTCATAGTGGATCTTAAGTTAAAGTTTTTTCCATCTTCATTCCTCTTTTCTACATTCTCTCCTGTGTTGCAGCAGCTCTCCACGGGGCTTTCTGATTGTCAGAACTAACCTTAGACTGAACAGGTGCTATTGCATCAGTAATCCTGAGTGTTTGGGAATTAAAATGGGCCAGACGTTCATCTCCTCCTCCAACTTTTATCACTGATGAATTGGATAGGACATCCAATGCAGCACTGCATTTGAGATCTCGTCTGAATGAGTGGGGAAACTAAAGCCTCAAAGAAAATGCAGAGGTGATCAGACTGTTGATCCATAGTATTCATAACAGGAATAGTAAGGCCCTGACTGATAACCAGATCTAGTGGCATTAAGAAAGGTCATTCACACTGAAGATGCCAATGAAAGTGTCTAACTTGAGACATGACGAGAGTCAGGAATGTCTATCGTTAAGACCCGGCGCCAGAATCGTCAGACAAATGTAAGGAAAGGTTGTTTATGACCAATTCCATGACCGTGTCATGTCCCACCTCCTTCACACTACCCAGGTCCCTTCACCCCACATAAGCCAGAGTATCTGCAGTAGGTGAGAATGTGCCTGACAAGGACAATCTCTTGCTGTGTGCTACAGGTGTGAAAGGGAAACTCCAGACAATGTCCAGACCTGGTTCTGCAGACGTTGTCTGCAATTTGTGTGAAAACAGCTGAAGTCATCATCCTGAAATTCAATAACTTACATGGTGGAGACCACGAGGAACAGGAGTCTCCTGCAGTGCAGTTGTAAACAGGTTTTGGTTCCCAAAATGTACCTAATGCCAGGTGCATACACCACACACACACACCAATCTGACCTGTGTGTTATACTGCTGGCGGGTGGGCGGCACGTCATATATATCCTGCTGGGTCGGAGGCTGATGTCTGGGGGGGATGTCATACTCGTCCATGTCTGATTTCACGGTGTCATACACATACACCTGTCCGACCCGAGTAGGAACTACCACCTGGACACAAACACAGAGCAGAGAGACAGGTCAAAGTCAAGACAAAACAAAAACGCAAAAATCTATTTTCACACCATAAACATCAGTCTGAAGATGAGAGGATAAAGATCAACCATACCAGAGATATCTGATAATCATACCGACAGAGAAAAGCTTATTAACAGAAATATCACAGCAAAACATTAACTGCTTTTGTAAGGGCTGTGTAAGTGACTGTGCCAAGCAGCGGAGATCACAGTGCACGTCTCTGTCACACACTGAGGTTCACAGACTAAAAGGATTCTTCACCTCTGAGAAATTATTGCTTCATCGCAATGAGACTAAAGGTTGTTCAGTCTTATAAAAAAACACAGCTAATAACAACAAAGCAGGGTTCCTGTCACAGTTGTCATGGGAACCAGGCTGTCCTATTGTGTTTAAATGCGGTATTGTATAGTTTGAGTGTAGAGCCAACCAGCCAGCCTGGGAAACCACTTTGCATGGCATCTTGACGTCCTTGTTTAGACCAATTATTAGGAGACAAATGCTAACCGGGGCCGACAGCTACTACTGGAATATTGTATCCTGTTAGCCAGCATGCTAATTGCCAGAGGTGCATAATTTTTTATTGCCTGCATTTTACTTAGTAATTTACAGTGATCACTAAACTGAAATGTTTGGATGCTCATTTTGCATCATGACTGACAAGTGACAAGATTTCTAACACAGTGTAGTGCACGTACATGATGCTGACAATTATATTTTACTCCTCTGTGGGAAATGAAATGCATCGTTATGTATCTCTGGGCACAGAGATATGAAACCTATATGAATCGTCTCATCAGATTCTGGATAAACAAAAGAAAACAAGGTCACTTTCATAAAAAAAAGTCCTAGTTCATTAACAATATATTTAATGGTAATATGGTCCATATGGTTATAGTATGTACTGTATTTAAAATAAAAATAAACCTTTCACCGTATGAGCTACATACAGTAGATGTGGATGTATTAGATAAAATACAATCGAATAATACAATATTTTATTATGTATTTATAATATAATGTGTATCTGCAGGTAATTATTATCCAGTACTCATCATCGTTATCCAGCCGAACATCCTGCACTGGTCGATCTGTGTTTGTATGTTAAATGATTTTTTAATCACACTCAGCACCAGCTCTGATAAATGGAGGCTCTCTGATAATATTTTCTCAGCTCCCCAGCTGTCGGAGGTATGCTGTGTGTGAGACAAATGATAAAACCATGCATCTGACAACCTGCCTGTACTAATCTTCCTCTGCCTTCAGCTCCCTCACCACATGACACACACCTGGGCAGATCAGAACAGCTTCTCTTCTTTAGGGGAATCATTTCACAGCCAGTTGAATCAAGAGTAACATCCTTAAAAAACTGAGAACGAGCATGTGTTTCACAGTTCGCTATTGGTTTCTCTCTGGCTCCATCTGCGTCACACATACACACTCATGCAAATGCCACCTTCCACACTGTCAGGAAGCTTTCGACAGTATTGACGACACTTGGCTAAGTGCCAGATGTGTCCCACAGATGTACACACACAGATCCACTTGGTGTGTACGTGTGAGTCTGTTCTCTGGGGTGCACGCAGACAGGTGATCAATAGCATGAGTTATCTATCACACACAGGGCTGGAGATGGCGTGATGTGTGTGTGTCACTCATGGGATAGTCAACACTACCTAACAACGTCATGTCTGTCTGCTGTTTGTTTGTGTATGACCGATAGCATGCTCTAACTTTACCACTGTCAAAGTGCTGACAACTATCGGCTCAGTGCTGTGAGTTTTATTTAGGAAACAGTTCGTTAATGTTACCACTCAACTAGCACCAACATACATTTGTGACATTATTAGTAACACCAGTATCAAGCTGCTGTTTTGGATTAGCTCAGATTCCTGAGCTCTGACAAGGTCAGTCCACAGAGTGGCATGCAACACGAGTGAGTGAAGCCAGCACACGGCGCTCTCCTCACTGTGGCCTGAGGCTAGCTGTATGCCTTCCCATCTACTGACCTACATGCCCACTAAAGAAAACGTGGCTTGTGTTCTCAGAGGAAATCACTGGCCTTATAGAAGCTACAATAAAACACCTTCACACACATTTATTTATGAGGATTCAGTGAAGGAACATTCCACTACATGCAAATACACATGCACAATGTGTGGCCTAGGCTGGGATGTTCACTCTTTTGTCCCACGTGTATGATTATGTTAAGCAGAGGTCACTGTCCAACAGCTGACCTGCACCCTGAGCTATGTCCCTCCCTCCTTCCTCACCTTTTCTTTCTCTTTCTCTACATTATGCCAATGAGAAAAGGACAGATAACAGTAAACTGGTGTGTGGGCTTTGGTCAGAAACAAGAGGCACGATGAAATCTCCTCTGTAGTAACTGGCAGCAAATACAGCACATTCTCAAACAAATCTCGAACATCACGCTTCAAATTACCACTTCAAACAACCACACGCAGTAAAAAACAGACTTTCTGTATGAGCAGCTGCAGCAGAAAACACTTAAATGATGGAGAGGAAAAAAAATCTTTACAGTACAGATGTGAAGTTCAGAGAGAAAATGGTAAAAATAGAGAGAGGCCTAATTACAGTTAGGGGGGTTAGGTGGTTTGTCTGGTGGGCACGGCTGCTTTAGATTGTGATCCACTGCATACTGTGCTCTCACACAGCTCTCTGCTTTGCTCCTTTTCTCATTTAACAGAAAGGATTCTGTACTACTAGTACACTCATAGTATTTGGTAGCCATGTACTTGTTGTCTTAGTATGTTCTATGTACTGGAATGGTATTTGACTTTTTTTAAGTGGACAATAAACAACCTGTATACATGAGGGGAAAAGTAAAATTTGGTATGCAGTATAACACACCATTCCAAACATAAACATATATGTAATGTTCAAGGATGTATGTATATAGCACATGCCTCATTAACAGAACAATTGAATAGAAAATGAACAGAACAGAAATACAATAAGGGCCTTGAAGAATGAAGACAACAGGGGAGTGGATTCAGGACAAGTCTGACTGTCCCTGAGGGTTCCAGCCAAAGTCCAGGCTAAAACCCCCAGAACCTCTGTGGTGAGATCTGAAGATGGCGGTTCAGGGACACCGCCCATCCAATCTGACGGAGCTAGAGAAGATCTGCCAGGAAGAATGGGACAAACTGCCCAAATCCAGTTATGAGCGGAGAAACAAACCTCAGAGACCAACAAAAGAAAGTTTACAGATGACCAACAATAGTTTAGTATCAATTAGAGCAATCACTGACGGCACTATCGGTCTGGTGAGGTCACAGTTAAATTCAGTGTTACTCTAACACCAGCATTGGCAACAGGCATAAACCTGCAAGTAAAACAAGCAGAAACACAGACAGAGCAGCAACAATGAGAAACAGTGAATGTGAGGGAGCTGGAGCCACAGCCTAGGAATACCATGCCAGCTATGTGGTGCTTGTGGCAACACACACACACACACACACACACACGCACACGCACAGGCACCAAAAGGCAGTGTGGGAGTCTTAACAGATTAGTGGGTCTCCAAGAGAGCACCAACACACCCTACCCCCAGATGACCTGGATTCCAACACCACATGGTGTGTCTATCTCATCCCAGAGCTACAGGACCACAGCTATGAAAAGGAAAGTATTTATTTATTAGGATGTCATCATATTATGGATCTGGTTGATGGTACCACTATGCACACTAGGGACTGCTAAGTTGGCATTTTGCTGTATTGTGTGTCTGTGTACTTTGTCATTTTGTTGGAAACATCTCAGTATCATTGCCAACTCTCTGTGTTAGTCATGTTCACTCATGGTGAGATTTGTTTTGATAGTGGGCAAACAGTACTGCTTCACAAAATGGTCACCTCAGTCTTAAGCGAAAAATAAGAATGTTGTAAGACAATGTAATAATGGTGCATTTGTGACGGTGCCTTGTTTGGTGCTGTGCGTATGTGTGCCTGTTTGCAGGTAGCAGCCTGTCTGAGGGATGGGGAGCACCTGGCCGCTGCCTAGAACACTCCCGCCTGCCCCTGGCTCAGCGTGCCCGTCTCCACACATGCACATGGAGACGAGACACTTTCTGTCCTTAGACCCACAAACATGTCTCCGTGTTCTGTTTGGTTTTGCTTTGCATCTTCAACAAGTACTTCACATATTCATGCATTCGTTCATCCCTTGCATTACTGATACTGACTTCAACACGTCATTCTTGCCTTGTATTATTCATTTTAATCAACATTATTTAAGTGTATTTTCTCCAGTAGTATGGCTCCCTCCTTTTTGTTGTGGCCTTTGAGCAGGGTTGTGACACATTCACCACCCTTCCTGTATCAGACGATATTCTCTTTTCAGTGTCTGTGCATGGACAGAGAAGAGAATAGTGTAAAAGAAAAATGAAATCCTGTTTGATTGCAGGTGGTGTAAACCCTACAGAGTCCAAATCACTGATAATTTATTAAGGCATTCCAACTCTGCTAGAGATACACTGTAGATAGTAGTGAATAGGACTGACAAAGGTATTTACAATTATTACAACGCACATGCCTGTCCCCTGGTAGGCTAGTGGTTAAGGCGCAGCGCTCTCACCGCTGCAGCCCGGGTTCAGATCAGGGTTGGGTCAGGAAGGGCATCCGGTGTAAAACACGTGCCAAATGGCAACACGTGAGTTGTTAGATTTGCTGTGGTGACCCCTAAAAACGGGAAAAGCCAAAAGTGACTTTCTTTACACTGCACATGCCTCCGTGAACTGTCAAAACAGCACTTCAGCTTGTGAAACCAGGTTTTGAAAGTAGTCTATTTGGTATATTTTGATATAATCTTACCACGTTAGACTTTGGATATTCACACTGTAAGCTGAATCCTGATAATTGATGATTGGGTATCAGGAACAAAAGAGGGTCAAATTTCAGTTCTTGATGTGTGTGTGTCTGTGAAAAGCACAGCGGTGTGCATAGATGTCTGGGAGT